AGTATTGGCATTCAAGCTTTGCCTCAGGCTCCTTTTTTGTCCTGGGGAACCTGGCTAAGACAATTCATTACTAGAATCTAAGCTCTGTGAGGATAGAGATTTTGGTTATTTTGCTTACTGCCTAGAATATTGCCTGACACAAAGTAGGTGTTCAAAGTATGTAAGATCTGTATATACATGGTGTCCCAAAATATTATACATTTTAACAGCTGATAGCTCAATTTTGAAAATAAAATTTATTTTAATAAAAACTATCTTCATAATTATTCTAAGTGTGTGTATACATTTTGGGGGGTCTCTCTCTCTCTCTGTATGTATATATGCACATACACATATATACCTTACATATAACATCCGCTATGAGCATCAGAATTTATATACATACATACACATATATATGTATATATATAATTTGCATTTAATTTGGAAAAAATTAATGAATGTATCAATTCATGGAAGAACCTTTGGAAGAGATGAGCACTAAAACAAATTTGTGTAAGGATAAGAGACCTCTTATTAGCTGATTCTCTCCACAAAGAGCACCCAGGTCTGCAATACAAAAATCCCCAGATGGATTTAACTGTGCTGAACTCAACAGCTAGTGTGTAGGAAGTTATGAGAAAGACAGAGATGAAAAGGAGTAGCCAACATTGTTTAGCACCAAGCTGCAGAAGAAGTTCCCATCAAGCCTGATGCACAGCTGATCTGATCTCCTACATTTTGGTCTAGTTTGAAATGCAAAGGCCGGGGAGGAGATACCCACTGTGGGCTCCATAGCTCTAGACAAAATGAGAAGATAAAGAGCTCTTGTGGCTGCTCAACATAGCTCAGAAGTGAATTGAGAAGAAACACCCAGAAAGGCTCTCTCAAAGCAGAATTTATTATTCTTTCTTCTTTCTCTGTAGAGCTCTAGCTGCCCTTTGATCTTTTCTCACCTTACAGGGCATTCTCTTGTAATTGTGGGGTGTATTCAATAACTCAGCATTATTTATTGAGCTCAAACTATGTGCTAGTCATTGTTTAGAACTGGGGCAACAGCCATGACCAAGCAGACAAAACTCCCTGCTTGATACAACTTAAGGTTTTAGGAAAGGGAGATAGACTGTTAATAAAATATAGCATAGTAAAGGCACATTTATGCACAGGTGGGTTCCCTCTGGGTGGCCTGTGGGGATCGGGCAGAAACCCGCAGTCCAAAGCTGCCTGCAGCTCCTACTTGCTACTCCTGCTTGCACTGCAGCAGCACTCGCCAGCCATGAGCCCTGCATCTATGGCCCTCCCAAGGGGAGCAGCCTATGGAACTGGACTGAAACCAGCTCTCCGACATCCCCTGAAGGGTTCTAGATTGCGAGAGGGCGCAGGCCAGGCTGAGGAACCCCACCAGTGCACGATCTGGCAGGGGAGGGACCATGGAAGGGCTCCATGGCATGTCAGTCCCAAGATCGACCAGACCCCAGCAGCAAGCTAATCTACCAGTCGGAGCATCTGCCCCCTGGTGGTCAATGCAGTGGCAGCCTTAACATATCATTAACATATTACGCTTTGATTGGTTGTTCAGTTGTTCTGCCGTTCGCTCTATTTGCATATTATCCTTTTATTATGTAGGATGTTAAATCACAATAAGGGGTTTGGAAAATAAAGCGAGAGAGAGAAAGCGAGAGAGAGAAAAAGAGAGAGAGAGAGAGAGAGAGGAGCTGGGAGTGAGGTTGATTCTAATTAGGGTATTATATTAGTTTCCTAGGGCTGCTATAACAAAGTGCCACAGACTAGAGGGCTTAAACTACAGAAATTAATTTCCTCCCAGTTTGGAGGCTAGAAGTCTGACATCATGGTGTCAGCAGGGCAGGTTTCTTCTGAGATCTCCTTCCTTGACTTGTAGACGGCCAGCTTCTTTCTTTGCCTACACACAGTCTTCCCTACATATGGTCTTCCTTCTGTATGTTTGTGTTCACATTGCCTCTTCTTATGAGGGCACCAATTGCCTCTTCTTATGGGAATAATCCTCACCCAGATGACCTCATTTTAATTTGATAACTCATTTAAAAACCCTCTCTCCAAATATTGTCACATTCTGGGGTCATGGGGGTTTGGACTTCAACATATGAATTTTGTGGGATTTAGCTCATAACAAGTATCTTGGGAAAGTCTTGCTGAGAAGATGATATTTGAGCAAAGACTTGGAAGAGCTTGCCATGAAGATGTCTGGGAGAGGGAACAGCGAATGCAAAGGCTCTGGGATACAGGTATGCTTGGTGAGTTTGAAGAGCAAACCAGAAGTACCGTGACTGGAGTGGGTAGGTGAACAAGGGAGAGAGCAGTAGAGAAGAGACCAGAAAGGTAAGGAGAATGGTAAAATCATGGCCCTTAGGTCATTGGAGGAACTTTGGCTTTTTATTCTGAGGGTGAGAAAAAGTCCTTGAGGGAGAAATCATGTTGCTAGTGGTCTGCAAATTCTGGTTCAAATGCATTGCCTCATCTGAGTAAATCTATTAGGTGCTTGTGCTGACTGCTCCAAGGTCACAGGCAGAAGAGATGGACCAATGATTAACACATTTTGATAGAAAAATACATTGATTTTTAGGACTCTCACTATTGTGATTTCTAAATTCTGTCTCAATTCTTGCTGTTATAACTGCACCTTTTTTTTTTTTTTTTTGATGCACTAAGAAAGTGAGGTAGAAAGGCTATCTTTAAGCCCTATGTGCTTTGATAAAACTATGGAGGATGCTTGGATTTGTGCATTGTGCATCCTTTCTCTCCTCATCAACTGTCTTCTTTGTGATGAGTTCTCATCTCATTTCAGAGGGTGTGTTTGTTATCAGCAGAGGTGCTCTGGTGGAAATGAGGATTGGGCTCTTCAAAGAGATTGACTTACTTTTTTAAACATCAGAAAATGCTCCCAAGTGTTTGGACATGTCATGTGATCCTTTCTCCTAGCTCCATCACCAGCCTTGATTTGGAATTTAGTCTTAGGTTCTGGTGCTTGTTACTGATTCTGCCTAGTTCTGATGACTCTTCCTCACAACCAGATTCCTAGTGTTGACTTGCCCAGGCACTACGTTACCTTTCTTATTGCTAGGCTTTGGTGACTCAGCTCTGCTTTTCAATGGTCCTGAAATGCGTTTACTTCTTTTTAAAAATATATCTGCTGGGGTTCTTTCCCCCCAGCCTTATAAAGGGTTTAACATTCTGGAGAAAGGGCTGCATGTAGATGATTAAGAAGGAGCCCGTGGACAAAAGATATTTTTGATAGGGGATCAGAGGAGCTTCCAGCTGAAGAGCTAGAAGACTCTCTTCCTTGACCCAGGACTCATGCTTTTATTAGTACAATTTGTCTCAAGGCAAGTTGGAAATATACATTTCAAAGGGTATGGTATCAAAGGGTATGCAGGAACATAGTCAGTTTGGGGAATAGCCTACAGCTGTTCAGGTGTTTGGCCAACAGGAGGCAATAAAATGCCTTGAGCTGTCTGGCAGTTAACAATTCAGGCTTGGGTGGGGAGTGCCTTTTAGCCATTTCCAACAGGTACACTACATGTAGCCATTGCTAACAAGGAACCACCAGACAAAGCAGTTCTTTAAAGCAAAGTCCTATACAATAGCTGTATACCAGCTAGGTAACAATACACCTTTCCCACAAAGCAATAACAGCCTCTGTACCCACAGCTATAATACATCTTCTCCACAATACAGTCCCGTCCTGGCTGGTCAGTAACAACTTTACACTACTTAGACAAAAGAGACTTCTTGCCAAATAGTGACCTCAGTCTTTTGGGTTATAGAAGGGCACGCTCGTGCAGGGTACATACAGATTACTGTGCCTTTGCTCTTGTACCTGTGTATAGACTTTGGACATCCTAATTGAGATTCCCACACTCAGAGTGGCCTTGAGCATCTGGCGTACTCTGAATAGGGTCGCCACAGAAAGAAACACATCAATTGGTTGCTCCCTGCATGTGCCTTGACCAGGGCCCTGGGCCAGGGAAGAGCTTGTGACCAAGGTATGTGCCCTTGACCAGAATCGAACCCAGGACCCTTCAGTCTGCAAGACAATACTCTTATCTATTGAGCCAAACCAGCTAGCATTGGTAGATCCTTGATAGAATTTTTTGATGGAATAAATTTATGTAAATTAAATAGTTATAGTAGCATCTCATGATATGGGAAGGAAATTGGTTACTCAACTAATATTAGATGTGCTTTCAATGAAGCACCATGGTAGGTAGTGAGGATTCAAAGATAAAAAGACAGGGGAGTCTTTCCTTAAGAATTCACATTCTACTGGAAGTCTAGAGTTAGAGGCAAAGTTCATGAGGTCAACTTGGCTAGAGATAATAAAAAACCTTTTAAAATTGTGGGCCTTAATCTGAGGTTCAGTTACAGTTTCTGAGCTGGAAAAATTCTTCAGAAAAGTTGGAAAATTTCTCTCTTGGGTTTTGATGCTGGTTACAGAATGATGGCTTCTGAGGGAAGAGGAGCCCAGTGAAAGGTGTTGTAAGGGATAGATAGAACTCTATATGCTATCACCAGCATGTTTCTCAGGGCTTCCCATTCTACTTTGCTGTTAAATTTTTCTGGGATACTCCTTGGAAAAGGGGATTCTCTTTTCATTTGGGAATTAAAAGAATTCGCACACCTTCTGGAAATCAGACTTTTTCATTGGCATGGCATGACTTTTAAAATAATGAAATCTATTCTGATAAGCAACTCAAGTTTTAACTCTTTTTGTGGGGTAGGGGGTGGAGGCCCCAATCTTACCAGTAAATTTGAGCTTTTGCTTAATGTCACAGATGGTGTGGTCAAAGATTTCTGATTATGAAGCAATCTTTAAAAAAAAAAATAGAACAGCCTAAGTGATCTTCCTCTATATATACTGTATGCTATCTTTCACAGCATCTCATTGGAGAGGCAGCCTTGAGGGGTAAAGTAAGTAGGTTATCCTCTCATCTTTCGAACACAAGCAACTCTCTGGCTGCTGTGAGTGACACAGGTGGAGGGAAATGCGGGGGAATTGCATTTTGACGTCTGGGTTGCTGCTTGCCACTCTGTCTCTTGCTATTGCCAAGCACAAGCCATCTTCCTTTGCCAAGAGCTGTTACCCAAGGGGGGAGCTGTCCCAAGCTGTTGACATGCTCTATGTCAAGGCAGCAAGGCTCAAAGCAACAATTCCAGTAAGTATGAGGCTCTTCTTACAATGAAGACCTACAGGACATTTATAATTCTGAATAAAACTTGTTTCTCTTTGTTTTGTTGTAGGAAGACAGCATAAAAAATATACGATTATTAAAAAAGAAATCAAAAAAGCTATTTATGGTAAGCCACAGGGCCTTTCTTCTAGCCCAGGTTTCTAATTGTTTGATGTTTCGCTTAAATTTTCCCAGATGGTCATTAAGTAACAAACAGGGGGATGTTTCAGTGACATTTTACAAAGGCGATTCATGGTTTATCATATGCAATTTCTTGTATCTTCTCTATAGAAGAACTGCAGATTCCAAGAGCAGCTTCTGTCCTTCTTCATGGAAGATGTTTTTGGTCAACTCCAATTACAAGTTTGCAAGGAAATGCACTTTGTGGAAGAATTTCACAGCCTTAGGCAGAAACTGAGCCGCTGTGTAAGTATGCACAGCAAACATGGTGAGTCTGGCCCTACAAACCTACCTAGAAAACAGCATATGTGAAGCTGTCTCCACATCAAAGGGTGAGTAAAAGGGCCTAAGTGTTGGCTTGTAGTCCACACGAAGAGCTCATTTCTAGGAAAACAGGATCAAATAACCATGCATAACTCAGAATGCCACTATTTATTATATCTCAAGGAATGGCATGTAAACCATATTAAAGCAAGCTAAACTAACATGGAATGCTACTCAAATACAGAGGTGGGCAAGTCTAAGTTTATAGTTGGTCATATGGAAAATAATTAATAAATGATAATAGACAATGTGTTTTGTATGCTCACAACTGTTAACCTACTTTTCCTCACTCGTGTATTTAACTAATTTTTTTTTTTTTTACCATTCCCTCTTTATGATTCCCAAGTAGTTCATTCATTCATTGGATAGTTCTTAAGTACCAACTAGATGCCCAACACTATCTTAAGTTGTTTTCTTTTTCTTTCCCATAGTGCTGAGAACTTCTAGACTGCCATGCTCTCTGCTCTTGGGCAAGGTGGTTACTGAGACCTAAATGCTGGGCAGTTGGAGGTGGATTTTTATTTTTCAAGAGTTAGTATATCTTTGTCTTGTGGTCCGTGAAAGGGTCAGGAATCCAAACACAATGCAGAGGCATTTTGTAAGGGTGAGCTGGTCAGTTAGGCAAAAAATTCATTGAATCTATGTTCACTTTTCTTTGGTCAGTTTGTGTTTAGGTCATGTCCTTGGTTGGGAGTGGGGCTGCGTGCTTTTTAAATAAACTTTCTCATTTCACTAAAATAGTAATAATGATTAAAAATTACAAACTGGTACCTCTTTTTAGAACACAGAGAGATTGCTCTGGGCCAGTTCCTTCCCCTGAAATCATGGAAAGGCTGTCACTCATCTTTGGTTTATTCTATATTTAATCTATAAACTTTTATTAAGGCAGTGGGTAGTATAGTCTCTTAAATTTAAGTGGAATTATTATATAATTTTATATTTCTTTTGGCCTCCCTGATTAGATGATTATTCTCCCAAGGCAGAGAGTTTTTACCGCTAAAAGACTTGAAGAGGGGAGAATAATCCATGGAAGCAGCTGCTATTGGGGGAAACAGAGACCCGTGGCAGGGACTGTAGGGTAGAGTGGGGTCATCCAAAGGACCAGCAAACTGTTCCCATTTCAGTATCTGGAAGCAGGCATCCTCTTCGGTTTTACTTTGTTAGTGCCTTCTGCTTTTCTTTTTGCTGGAGAACCGGGGCTCCTCTGTGTAGGTGCTATCATTTGCTTTAGCCATCCGATTTCATTTAATGTTATTCTAAAAGAAGTTTGTTAATGATAGTGAGGCGCTCGAAGAAATCCTTAATCCTTGCCTGATACAATACAGTGTTATCTGAACATCTGGACTCTCCCCCTCTCTCAGGTGCCCCCCCTTCCCCTTCCCAAGCCTGTCTGTTTTTACCATTAATCCAGTCTCCTTGGTTCAAATAGCTAGAAAACAGATAATGACAATTATAACCCAAACCAAGCTGAAAAACTTAGAAAACACAGAATTGTATAGGAACTCTGGTTTTCCTTGATTTGTTTTGAAGTGTTTTCCTAAGGGGACCTCAGTCTGTCAATGGAGATGCCCTCCTCTCAGGGACTTGGGTCAATGCAGCACAGCATGGCTCTTTTGGCGGGTTGTGGCCGCTTACCTAAGTGGTTGGCGCCCCCTTATGGCCAAATGGCAATACCACACCCAATCAACCTCCCCTAGAGCCACCAAGCTCATTTACTTCTTACTTTCTCCCATCTGTAGCCAACCATTGTTAGCTTCAGTTAATTTGTCTCAGGAGCTCTGGACTTTATGCCCTGGGATGTATCTGCCACCTTTAGGAAACTGGTGGATTAGCCTGAGGTTAGGAAAGCCTTCTCAGTCACTTTGATGCACACTGACCACCAATGCAGGAACTGCCCCCTGGTGGTCAATGCACTCCCACACTGGGAGCACAGCTCAGCCAGAATTCAGAAGCTGGGCTCACAGCTGGTGAGTGCAGCAGCGGTGGCAGGATCCTCTCCTGCCTCTGCGGCAGCACTAAGGACCCCTCAGGAGACATCCCCAGAGGGATCCCAGACTGCAGAGAGGGTGCAGGCTGGGCTGAGGGGACCCCCTTTCCCCAGTGCTGCATGAATGTCATGCACCAAGCCTCTAGTTTTAAAATAATCATCCAGGATTTTTAAAAAAAACAATTACTCTGTTAAAGATGCAAAGATATTTCAGTCCTCATAATGTTTTCAAATATCATAATCTGCCGTATTTTGCCAGATGGAATTTGGCTCTGGACGAATTAGTTGATTTTATGTTGAGCTAGGAGGAATTTTTCACTTATTAAGAGCAAAGTACTAAATTATTTCTTTAAAATTGACAGTAAAGTCGTTGGTATTTTTAGGAGAGTTTGCATTGGGGAAATACTATAATTTCAGTGCTGGAACACTCATGTATTACATTACCAAATATACTTATATTGGGTTATATCTGAGTTATCCTTCATAGTGGTTGTTTTGTGTCTCCAGAGAAAACACTTAAAAACAAAGTCTAGTACAATCAGGAATTAGGTAGTGGATCTAATCTGCCCTATTTTGCCAGATGGAGATGCTCAATATCTCTTTCTATTATGCAGCTGACATGGAACTTTAATGTTACTGGCTATATAGATAAGGGTACAACTCTTTTAACACTATTATCACGAACCAACCATTGGACATTTCTAAGCTTTAGCTTTCTTAGTTCAAAATTCAGATACAAAGTTAAAATGTCCATGGCAAATAAATAGTTCTGTTTTCCCATTTTTACGTGTTCTTTCCCAGGTAACATTGTGCCACTTACTACCATGTGATGAAGGCAAAGAAACAATTATCCACATTTTGAGGGTTTATGGATTTATACTTAACTAGAGGCCCAGTGCAGGGGTTTATGCATGGGAGGGGTCCCCTGGCAATCAGGGCCGATTGAGGCTGTGGAAGGTTGGCCAGTAGGGGGAGGAAGTGCGGGAGGTTGGCTGTGGGAGGGAACTGACCACCAGGAGGCAGCTCTTGAGGTGAGTGTCTGCCTCCTGGTGATCAGTGCACGTCATAGCAACTGGGTGTTTGGTCGTTTGGTCTCTTAGGCTTTTATATATATATATGGATGTGTAGCCATGGAGTGGCTGAAATCAAGGGTTTTTGTTCCCTTCTTTCATTTTTTTCTTCTTCCTTACTCTCACCTATCTCTCCTTTCATAAAATATTTTCAGAATATTTTATGTACCTGCTCTGAGTCAATTTATTGAATAGCCAATTTGCAAAATGAGCAACTTTTTGAATCCATTATTTCATTTACCTATCTAGTTTTAATTGACTGGCTTAATTTTATCTTCATATAAAAGAATTCCTTTGTTTTAAGGCATATTCTAATTTTTCTTGGTTTCATATTTCTACCTTTGGAATTGGAGAGTGAGTAGCAGAGAGAAGGGAGGTTGGGGAAACAAAGAAGAGTCATAATAAGGGAATTGTTGTGAACATGCAGACTTTTTAAAAATACACTTAACATAAATCTGTTCTTATACATGAGAAAAATGCATTTGTAGGCATTCCTTTGAGTGAAGAATACATTCCAGCATATAGCATGTACAAATTTTAATATCAGAAAGACACTAATTGCTGTAACAAATACTCTCACAAATTTTAGTGGCTTTACATTTAAATATTTTTAAAATCCTTTCTCGAGGACATGCTTAGGAGAGAGAGAGAGAGAGAGAGAGAGAGAGAGAGAGAGAGAGAGAGAGAGAGACAGAAGAGAGAAACATTGATTGTCTGATTGTCTGCCTTCTGTATGTGCTCCAACCTGGGATTGGACCCAAAACCCAGGTATGTGCTCTGACTGGGAATTGAACCAGCAATTTTCAGTGCACTTGATGACACTCAACCAACTGAGCCACCTGATAGGGCAGTGGCTTTACATTTTAGAACTTTATTTCTTTCCCATGTAAGTTACAGGTGCCATTTTTCTGGATAAGGTTGCTTTCCTCCACATTATGAATAGGCATCCAGGCTTCTATATTGTAACTCTTTCATTCCCTACACTTTTTACATTTAGTCAGGTGAAGAGGGATGAGAGCAAGAAGACATATTTTCTTATAGCCTTGTTCCCAAAATGACACATAGTTTTCTGCTTATATGCCATTGGCTAGAAATACTCACATGGCCACAATAACGGCAAGGAACCCTGGGAAATGTTGTCTAGCTTATGGCCAAGAAGAAGAAATAAATTTTGGTAAATAGCTAGCAGTCTCTGATATATTTTTTAAAATATTTGTTTATTAATATATTATTTTTTGACCAGTGATACAGCCTTCATGAGCATGATACAGTGAGTAGAACACTTTTTCCATTCAGAATACTTATTTTGAGATTTATTCATGTTATTGAGAGTATCAATAATTTTTTTTAATGCCAAGTAGTAGTCCATTGAAATGATATAACACAATGTATTTGCCTATTATTATATATCCTTGAGGCCTGGTGCATGAAATTTGTGCACAGGGTGGGGATGTGTGCATTCTTCAGCCCAATCTGGGACCCCTCGAGGGATGTCCGATTACCTGGTTAGTCTAACTGGGCCTTCAGACATCCCTCTCACAATCCAGGACTGCTGGCTCCCAACTGCTTGCCTGTCTCCCTTTCTGATTGCCCTTAACCACTTCTGCCTGCCAGCTTATCACCCCCTAACCACTCCCCTGCCAGCCTGATTGATGCTTACTGCTCCGCTGTCAGCCTGATTGCCCCTAACTGCCCTCCCCTGCAGGCCTGGTCACCCCTAACTGCCCTCCCCTGCTGGCCTGATCACCCACAACTGCTCTCCCTTGCAGGCCTGGTTCCTCCCAACTGCCCTCTCTTGCAGGCCATCTTGTGTCCATGTGGGGGCAACCATCTTTGACCACATGGGGGCAGCCATGTTATGTGTT